CAGGCTGTTGGTGGAAGCTTTTTGGGAGGCTGGTTAGTGGTGGAAAATGCTAGCAAATTGTCTTTTTTCTAGGGATCCAGAGCGTCCGTTTGACATCGAACGTCCGAGGAATTGGGGCTCGTTTGGAGCAGACCTCAATGGGTTTAAGCCGTGGCGGAGGGGTGGTTTCAGATGCTTTTGGGAGGCTGGAAAGCTTTTGGCAGGCTGTTGGTGGAAGCTTTTTGGGAGGCTGGTTAGTGGTGGAAAATGCTAGCGAATTGTCTTTTTTCTAGGGATCCAGAGCGTCCGTTTGACATCGAATGTCCGAAGAATTGGGGCTCGTTTGGAGCAGAACTCAATGGGTTAAAGCCGTGGCGAAGGGGTGGTTTCAGAGGCTTTTTGGGAGGCTGATTACTGGTGGAAAGTGGTCTTTTTTCTGGGGAACCAGAGCGTCCGTTTGACATCGAACGTCTGAGGAATTGGGGCTCGTTTGGAGCAGAACTCAATGGGTTAAAGCCGTGGTGAAGGGGTGGTTTCAGATGCTTTTTGGGAGGCTGGTTAGTGGTGGAAAATGCTAGCAAATTGTCTTTTTTCTAGGGATCCAGAGCGTCCGTTTGACATCGAACGTCCGAGGAATTGGGGCTCGTTTGGAGCAGACTCAATGGGTTAAAGCCGTGGCGGAGGGGTGGTTTCAGATGCTTTTGGGAGGCTCGAAAAGGCTAGAAATTTTTTTTGGTGTGTTCTACACGGCACTGTTCCACGCTTCGCACGGGCATGGCTTACCGTTAGGCTTGTCATGTTTGACTCGAATTCGCCCACTCAGCTTAGTCGATCAGACATGTGCACTACATTGCGGACACGTGTGTTCGTGTTGGCGACCAGCAACCACGCCATCTAGCACGCGAAATTGGCGGTTGCATGCGGCTCGATGGTCGATTTGGCCAGTTCGTACTGCGCTGTGGCCTCCTCGCCTCCTCGCCTGTCGCCCCCTGAGAATCCGGGGTCGGCGGCAGGGGCGGCAGCCCTTAAATCCGGCCAGGGGCCTGGCCGTGTCTTTGCCGTAGGCATCTCTCCTCTCCGAAGGAGAGAGTGGAGTCCCGCCCCTACCGCCGACCCCTGCGCAGTCCCGCGTTTTACAGTGTTTTCTGCTTCTTGCATTTTTCCGGCTTTGTGGCTCAAGATGGGTCAACGTGGCGCAGCATAAGCCGAAAAAAGTGCCCAAGTTGGGCCAACATGGCCGCAAGATGGGCCAACATGGGCCAACATAGGGTCAAGATGGGCCAACATAGCCCCCAAGCTGGGTCAAGATAACCCCACGATGGGTCAACATAGCCCCAAGATGGGCCAACATAGCCCCCAAGATGGGCCAACCTAGCCCCAAGATGGTTGCCGAAAACCTGGGTTTTCCATTGGGTTTTCTCCGGTTTTTTGCGTTTCCTCTTTGTTTGGGCCAACACAGAGGCAAGATCGGACGACATATGTCTAAGCTGGGCCAACAGAAGGTCAAGGTGGGGCAGCAGAGGGCAGCAACAACCACAACCACCACCACAACCACGTACAGCCCCTTTTTCCCT